CCTTCACTTTCATTGACAAGGGTAGTCGTTTGCTGATCAGCACATAAAGAAGATGACGAAGACGGTGAGCAGGCGAGCATCAAGCCTTACCTACAAAAAAAAAAAGCAAAAATACCACCTGATATCCCACTGTAACTTAAACAACGTACTTCTGAAAAGGCTAGAAATAATAAAACCAGCTACTGATACACTAACATATCTTCATTTGCTAATGGCAGAGTTTTTAAAGAATCTGATTTACAACTGGCTACAAGAAAAGGTTAAGGGAATTCAAATTCGAAGTGAAAGTAAAAAAATAAAGGGCAACGACAAAATCAAAAAGTACAGCATTAACATAAAATCTATAAAGAACACACTTTTAAGATGGATAAAATTATTTGCAAGCATATGAGCAAAAAAGATTTTTTTTTTGGACATTTGTTCTGCTTCCTTATTCTTTTATTAAAAGCAAAGAAAACAACAACGACGAATAACCATCAGGATAAAAGAAAGTTTGTCAAAAACAATGTACCTACCCCTCCTCTCGCACTTCCTTTCCTCCTTTCTTCTCCTTTTTTTTTTTGGTTAATTACAGAGTAAAAGAAAAAGCAAAGCAAAAGCTTAAAAGGCGGAGAGAAAAGATGAAGTTATGAGTAAGGAGTGAAAAAACTGTATGAATTATTCATTTCGTATGACGAGTCAAACTAAAAAAAAAAGCCACAAGCCCTACAGACGTCACCACCCAGAGCATTCCATAAAAAGCCAACAACACTTTGCTTTTATAATTGCAAAGAAAAAAACTGTCACAACTTGCTGGATGTTGTTCAGAAAAAAAAAAGGTTATCTTAAAATCTTCAAAACAACAGCCGTCCCTTTTAGACAAATCTGTATCCCATTTAAACTTCTCACTTTTACCGTTACTATTATTTTTATTGCGATCAGGACCATTATTATTATTACTAAAAGAAAACAACAAAGAAATCAACCATAACTGTTATCCAACAAGAAATAACAACAGCAATAGAATCACCATTAACAGTAGCAAGCAATGTCAATGGCAGCATCAAAAGATGATCATCCACCATCAGCATCCAAATGATCAAATAGTCATAAAGCCGTCAAAAAATAATTTCCAAAGTGGGCAAAATGCATCTGGCCGCCTGCCAGCGAAAAAACAATCGTCACTCAACGACAGCACCAGCAACAAGCAACCGCAGCCTGGGCAGAATCAGTATCCGCAAAAAGCGCCTCAGTGTGGGCATTTTGGCTACTCTGCGATCACTGCATTCGCAACGAGCTCTGCCCACTGACCAACGGCATAACCGCTATCACCACTATCAACAGCTGCAGCGGCAACAGCAACACCAACATCGACACCCAGCACCAATAACAGGCCAGACAGAATCGAGAAAACCTTTTTGTTGTAATCGACTTTGCTGACTGGAAGAACACATCAGTTACTGCTTCACACAAACTTCAGATTTTAATTACCGCTAGTTCCAGTCACCCGTTGAAAGTGGAACGTTTAGTTACAGGTATCTTGGACGTAACATTGATCGACAGTCTGCCAGTTTACTGCACAGTTGAGTGCTTGCTGAACATGACCAGTTACTCCTACTGTAGGATGTTTAATTATTAGGTATGGATAATAATAGTTGGGAGGTTTTTTGATAGCCAGCATGTTAGCAGTCAGTTTGCACAGTTTTGAGCAGTTCTGTTTTTTTTTTTTTTTTTTTTTTGCTTCCGTATAGATGGAAGGAAGACAGTTGTTTCAAAGGACAAGATCAATTATATTTTTTTGGTTTAGTTGGTTTTGAAGGTACTATTGGGTAAAGCAACAAATGAAATAAAATCCTATTAGTTTAATGGTTAGTAAAAATGAAAAATTGCTTTCTTACTTTTTTTTTTCTTTTTTATTCAAGAAGTTCAAAAATTATAAAATAATGTTGATTTTAGAGAAGTTGAGGAAATAACATATTTTTTTGCTAGCCTAAGTTTGCAAATTATATGAGCAAAAAAGCGGGGTGGAAGAGGGAAGGGAAATATAAGTAAAGTGTATGCAGCAAAAGAAGCGGACTAAGCACAAAAAAAGAAATCTGCTAAACATGCACATTTGTAAAGTAAAGTTGGTTTGTTTCTTTTTTTTTTGGATAGAGAGAGGGACGGATAGAAGAGACAAAGAGGGAGATCTTGGAATAAAAAAAATGGGAAGCAAAAGAAGATGAAAAAGCTTTATGAGACATTAAAGGCTAGTAGAAACAGCAACAAAACGATGTTATCTTAGTTTGTGACAGTGATAACTAAAGATGAGGATTTCTGTTCCAATAATTTGAACCATCAATGAAGATGAGTGACTTGTCCACTGAAAAGCCTATTCACTGATTCATGTTTTTTAAATTTTAAATTGATATCATCTGACCACTAAGTCTCTGATGTCTCTTATAACACAGCTGTAACAGGAAACATCGTCACCAAGTATCCAGCAATTAAAGAATGTGTTTGAAGATAGCCGGGAGGACAGCAGTGAATATAAGCTGGAATTGTTTCATCATTATCTTTAACGTCATTGCCAACAGCTTCATTTAACAGTGGCGGATACAACTGCAGCGTTGATACTGGTGCCTTTGACGTTGCTGTTGCTATTACTACGACTACTACTACTACTACT